CCTAAACCCTAAACCCTAATCCGTCTCGGTAGGGTTTAAGAGTTCAGGCTTTGGGGCGTAGGAGCTTATGCTTCAGACGGGAGGTCTACGAACCTGCCTAGACCGTAGAAAGGTTTAGGGTTTAGGGTTTAGGGTTTAGGGTTTAATCTTGGATAAGAAGCTACTTTACGGTAAGGGTCCTAGAATAGGGTTTAGGGTTTAGGGCTTCGGGTACTATCTTACTTGGACAAGAAGCTACTTTACAGTAAGGGTCCTATAATAAGGTTTAGGGTTTGGAGGTTTAGGGTTTAGGGTTTAGTAGTTTAGGGTTTAAGGTTTAGGTTTTCGAAAATACGTTAACACACTTGGTGCTAGATTTTAGGGTGTAGGTATTGTACTGGGCTATCAGTATACAATATTCAGGCCACTACGAAGAGGGCCTCCTGTGCCACCTTGCCAGGCCTAAGTGTCAGGGCTTAGACTGAATCCTAGGCCTTAAGCGCTTAGCCTTTACCCCTAAACCCTGAACCCTAACCCTAAACTCCATGCAGGAATCTACCGCGAAACAAACCCGAACAGGAAATCTGAGCCGAAGACCCTATCTCCACAACAAGAGCAAAACAAACTGACCGAGCTTGTTTCGAATAAAGAAGGACCGACAACTTAGTCATTCCGTGAGCCCAAAAACAAAATCGCTGTAAACCTGAACCCCACGCCGATTTAGGGTTTTGGGGCTTAGGGAAACGAGCCTGAACTCCAAAGCCCAAGCCCTAAACCATAAGCCCGGTACATAAACCCAGAAAGAGTATCCTTGTAGAGAAATGGCCCAGGTCAGCAGCGGAGCGCTCCGCTCGCTCCGCAGCCAAGGGGGTGGCTAAGCATGCAGTTTTGGGAGCTTACAGAGGGGTCTGTTGACAGTTCAGGACTTTGGTTTAGGGTTTAGGGTTTGTGCCTTTCTGGCTTGGGCTTCGGGGAGCTTTGAGATGGAGGGCTCTCGGTTTAGGGTTTAGGGTTTAGGGTTTAGGGTTTAGGGTTTAGGGTTTAGGGTAGTAGGGTTGGGTGTGGAACTTCAGGGCTGGAGGTTCAGAGCTGACTGTTTGGAGGCCGTCGGAGTTCCACTTCGTTGCCGTTTGGTGTGTAGGGCCCAGGCTAAAGGCTAAACCCTAAACCCTACCTAGAGGGTCATGCCTTACCGCTTTTTTAAGGTACCGAGTCTGATGGTTAGGATCTGTTATGTAGAAAAGCAGGTACCCTAAAAATGGAGTAGGGTATGAGCCTACAGGCAAAGCCTCAACACTAAACCCTAAACCCTAAACCCTAAACTCTTGGGGCAGTGTAACAACACCTCACTGTTCCTTGCTCTACCCGAATGGGGATTCTTCTGCGTGTCTGATCATGCGGACGAAAAGGGCCCTTAAAAAAAAAAAAAAACCTAAACTCTAAACCCTAAACTCTCAACTCTAAGCTCTAAACCCTAAACCCTAAACCCTAAAGACCCCAGCTTCTGCTTGCCAGCTTCGGGCCTCATCGGAGTTCAGGCATTCGGTGGGGCCTTAGACCTCAGAGGGGCTGGGGTCTCTAGGAATTCCCAGCGACCGTAAACCTTTCAAGCTTGAGGGTTTACCTTTGGGGTTTAGGGTTTAGGGACCGTAAACCCGTCACGCCGGATTGAGGGTTTAGGGTTTTTGGCCCTAAACCCCGAGCCCTAAACCCTAAACCCTAAACCCTATATCCTAAACCCCGAACCCTAATAGGGTTCTTGGCCCTAAACCCCGAACCCTCGTCAACCCTACAGAGTTCAAGGCTTCCAGGCTCTTCGGGGTTTCAGGTACCTAAACCCTAAACCCCTAAACCCTAAACCCTAAACCCTGAACCCTAAACCCTAAACCCCTAAACCCTGAACCCTAAACCCCTGAACCCTAAACCCTAAACTCTAAGCCACTGAGCCTCTTCAAGGCGAGGCTTCAGTGAAACTTTGGGCAGTGTAAAACCTGGACCTCTCTAGGGTTTAGGGCTTGAGGTTTAGGGTTTAGGGTTTAGGGTTTAGGGTTTAGGGTTTAGGGTTTAGGGGGGGTTCTATAATAGGGTCCCCTTAAAGGGCGCTCTGGGGTTCTAGAACAGGGTCCCCTTATAGGAACTCTTAACGGACGAGGGTACCATACTGTAAGGGTTTAGGGAACGCTAACAGGAACCATTAGAGGAGCCACGCTCCTGAGCAGTCAGCTCAGGAGCGACGTCTGGATGATTTCCAGCTCTGTGCCGACAAGCTCGAGAAACAGGCTTTGGGGTTTAGGGTGTAGGGTGTAGGGTTTAGGGTAGGGTAACTATTATAAGTATAGCCCATTTTAGGGGACTTTTTACCCCACCTGTACCTGCCATGAACCAGCGAGGTAGGGTTCTCTTCAATGCATCTTCTGACCAGAACATCGCACCCCAAACACCCTAGTGAAGCCCCTACACCTCCAAGCCCTAAACTCTGAACTGTACGCCTAACCCAGATCAGGACGCCTTGCTGAAAGGCATATTAAATCAGACACGTTCCCGGGTCAGTTTCACGTTGTCTTCTAATCGCTTCAGGTTCGTGTGTAGAAATTTCGTAGACCTTGAAAGCCAGGCCCTCACCTTAGGGAAGCATGAAGAGAAAGAGAGAGACAGAGAGAGAGAGAGAGAAAACAACAAACACGAAGAAAGGCAAGAAAGAGAGAGAGAGAGAGAGAGAGCGGAAGAGAAGGAGAGAGCTAGAGAGAGAGGGAGAGAAAGAGAGAGAGAGAGAGAGACGAGAGACGAGAGACGAGAGACACGGATGGATGCATGGGGTTTAGGGTTTTATGTCTGCATTTAACAACTCCGAAAGCCAAGGCAACTTTCAATCTTTGGGTCTAAACCTTGCACTCTGAATCGAAAAGTCTGAACCCAAAATTCCACATCTTTGACAAAAGGCGTCAGCAAACCCCACCTGACCACGGCGTAGGAGTACTGAGCATTCAGTCCAACAGGCAGCTGTGCAGCCTGTTCTCATTCGGAGAACAACCTTCCGAGCGAGATGAATGTGCGTGCATATGTGTAGGTACATAGAGCGGTATACATGCAGACAGATGGATGGATATGGAGGGACGGAGGGACGGAGGGATGGATGGAGGGAGGGATCGATGGGTAGCGACATATCTACTGTAGCATCCCATGTGCAGAAAGCATACCGGCTCCTGTGGATAGTGTGGGGTGATCGAGAGATGGTGAGAGGCCAATGCTTTGAACATTCAGCCATGCCCCGTCATTCGGGTCGGTTTAGGGTTTAGGGGTCCGGATTGCGGTTGAGGGTTTGATGAGTCTAACTCTTACATTCCACAGCCCGGAAGTGAAACCTCGAAACAGGCTGCGGCACTCCGGCAATGCGCAGTGCCAGCACAGGAGGCATGAGGGATGCAGAACCTGAAAAGCTTTGGGCCTTGGGCCCTACCCCCCAAACACGTAGCCTCCGAAGCCCTAAAACAACAACATGATGCCTTAAATCTTCGCAACCGAAAGTCCTGCACACTGAACCCTGAAATGTGAACCTCACGTCCAGAGTTTTGTCAGAGTTCAGTGCTGAAGGCATGAATGTTGCAAGTGCCGGGTCTACTGAGGCTGGGCCTTAGAATGCATGTGTTCCGGGCTTGGCTTCTGGTGGATTCTAACGAGTGCTTGTAGATATGGCTTCGCGTTTTTTGTTCGAACCCTTGCAATCATTGGACCTTGTAAACCTCAAATCCCAACCCCTGGAACCCTGACCTCAACTTCAGACACAGGCGGGCTCCTGTTTCACAGGGATAGTCGAGGCCTCGTAATGCTACTCCTGCTGCTGTTGCTGCTGCCGCTGCTCCTCCTCCTCCTCCGCCTCCTACTTCTACTGCTGCGACGCTGCTGCGACTACTGCTACTGCTGCTGCTATTACTGCTACTACTACGACGACGACGGCTACCACTACTACCACCTCTACGACGACTACGATGACTGCGACTCTTCTCTTGCACTCCTTGCATCTGCGGCCCAGGCGGCTCCGTCACCAAGCCGCTATCTACATGTGCAGGCTGTGACAACCACGGAAAGGTAAGCCTTCTCACAGAGGGGTCGGAGTGAGCACTAATGTCATCTTCTTAGAGAGTCCTTATCTAAATCTTCATACTCCTCACAATCCGGTTCGAAAGTTGCACGGCCCTATGTGAGACCGCGACCGCCTTCCGGGTGCGAGCTGATGCTCAGGGCTTCTGAGTTTGCTGGACACTCACATACATCGCGAAGTGTTCAGGGTTGTGTAGGGGCTAGGTGACTAGGGAGCGAGCCTCTGCCTTGTTGCATTGAGAAGCTTGGCATCGGAACAGACGTGCATGTCCCTGTGATGCCAAAAGATTCAGTGCACGCTTGATGCCCAATAGTTCTGTTTGGAAATTATGGTGTTGGGTCCAAGTCGTTTCTCCTTGAGACCCGCGCCTACTCTCATTCTCTCCGCAGCCCTCAACCATGTACTCTAGGCATCCTGGAGCTACAAATACGTACGGTACTGTAGCTTTCCCAAGCCCAGTATCTTACAGTGACTGCGCGGACTAGAGAATGGTACTTGGAGGTTCATGGGCAGCTACGAGTGGAAAGGTTTAAGTAGGGTAACTACCACTATAACCCATATTTATGGGACTTTTCCCCCACTTGTAATTACCCTAAACCCTAAGCCCTATGAGCCCTTAAAAAAGCCATAACTAATCTAAACCCTAAACCCTAAGCCCTATGAGCCCTTAAAAAACCATAACCAATCTAAACCCTAAACCCTAAGCCCTATGAGCCCTTAAACCCTTACCCCTAAACCCTAAACCCTAAACCCTGCTATGAACCTCCAAGCAGGACCAGAGCCACGGCTCAAGCATCCGCACGCCTTGCACCCCAAGCGCTGCGTTTCCGTGGAAGCCCTGAGTTCGGAGACACATGCTACGACAGGGTTTGGGGTTTGGGGTTTAGGGTTTAGGGTTTAGGGTTTGGGGTTTGGGGTTTAGGGTTTAGGGTTTGGGCTTAGGGTTTAGGGTTTAGGGTTTACAGCAATATGCTGAAAAAACTATAACGCATTATAACACGAAAATATACAAACCATAATCTTGGGATGGTAACATATCATATAATACACTATAATAATACTGTTATAAATAATCTGCCGATGGCTGAACATCTTGTCTTCAAGTGGAAGCTGTTCAATGGGGTCTGCCCTAAAGACCATTGAACATAGTACCTTTAAAGCAACCTCTTTTGTATCCCATATAGTCCCCGTAGAAAACCCTGAGAGTACGCAACTCTTATATTACCCTTACAGTACCCTTGGGGACATCTTGTCTTACGAAAGGGCCTGGACACTGAACAACGAGCATTTGGAATGTTATGATGTTCAGCTTCGTGCGACTTGTTGGAATACGGATGGTACTGCAACTGCCGCCTGATCCAGCTCTCATTTCCTGTGTCCGGCAACATTCGCGAACATGGGAGCAATGCCCGCTATGGAATCGATTTGTCTCAATTTGGCCTTGATGGTGGTGTACTTGGAACGGAGTCCTTCCTTACTTCCACACCCCAGCCTCATGCAGCATTCCATCGTCCAGCCCTGAAGGGCGTTGTCATTGCCGTAGCATGCAAACACAAGCTTTCGAACTCGGAAGACTACCCCAGACCCGAAGACCCTAAACCCTAAACCCTAAACCCGTAAACCCCGAAACCCCGAAACCCCTAAACCCTAAACCCTAAACCCTAAACCCTAAACCCTAAACCCTAAACCCCGAAACCCCTAAACCCTAAACCACAGGCCTGAGCCCAAACCTTGAACCTCAAGCCCATGGCATGGCGGTTGCCCCGCCTGT